GAGCGGGCACCTGGACGACGGGATCCTGGCGAGCAGCGGGCGGTGCGGGCCGGGAGGCCCTCTAGCAAGTCGACTCCCACAGCTCACACCGACGGACACGCTTGGCGCACCACGCCGATCGAGAGCGCCGCCGATAAACTGTCTCGTTCTTCGTCTCCGCTGGGCAACGAAAAGCAGCTCTCCAGAACCCCCCGGAGCTCGCAAGGTCCTCAGGTGCGCACCGTTCGGGCACCGTTCGAACGCGGGCACAACGTGTATCTTGACGGTAAGCCTTCAGCCCAACGCCGCCGTCAGCACGGTGTTGCCGTCCGCCCGGCCTCTCCCGGGGAGGTGGTCGCTAGCGGGCAAGGGCCCCAGGTAGAAGGGTCAGGATTGTCGCTAGCGGGCATCGGAGGGGAAAGAGGGGATTGTGCGGGAGTAAAGGGAAATTGTCGCTAGCGGGCAGCGCGACGGGTTGCCTACCTTCACGGCGCTGGGCCGTTTGTGGTGCGCGCGGGGAAAGTCGAGTGAAGAAAGAGACATTTCCCTCGGCAACGAAACGACATGTGTCGGCTAGGCCTCGGACAACTTCAGGTCCTCATGCCAAAGCGTTGCACGGAGCGATATCGGAGTGCAACGCTGCATTGACAGTACCATTACTGATTTTCTGTACTAAATTAGGTTTGTTTGTTTAAGTTTGCTTCCTCTTATTTAAAAGCAAAGCGGAGTGCAGCTCTGTATTGTCAGTATCGTTACTGATTTTCTGTACTAAATTAGGCTTGTTAGTTTAGGTTTGCTTAAAGCCCTCTCCCCCAGCTGGTGCCGGTTCTCTCGCGGGTGTGCGCGCTTGCAAACTGACGGCTGAAATCGGCGAGATCGGAAGGTGCAAGCCGGAGCCGTGCGCCTGTCTGCGTCCGTAAACGATAGGTGGATAGGTGTAAGCAAGCCCTAGTCTCTTGGTGTGAGTGAGCGGAACCCGCACCACAAGTCGCCCGGCCCGCTGCGCCCCCAACGCCGTGAAGGTAGGCAACCCGTTGCGCTGCCCGCTAGCGACAATTTCCCTTTTCTCCCGCACAATCCCGTCTTTTCCCTCCGATGCCCGCTAGCGACAATCCTGACCCTTCTACCTGGGGCCCTTGCCCGCTAGCGACATACGCCCCTCTCCCGAGTGTTCAAGTGTCTCTGGGTGCTTGCTCTAATATACGCGCCTTCGTTGCACTCTTTCAGGTTGTTTCAAAATGGTGCATGATCCAAGTTCGTCCGAAGCCGCTCGCAGGAAGTTCGAGTGTTCCGTTTGCCCAAAGGCATTTTTGGACAGGTGCGGGCTTCAGATGCACATGAGAACGCATACCGGGGAGCGGCCCTATCAGTGCACCGAGTGTCAGAAGGGATTTACGCAGGAAGGCGC